TGAATAGTGATATGATGGGAAATGTGTGGTTGAAAAAGAAGAAAAAATTATTGATGTGATGGAAAATATTATTTTATTGAAGAATGTGTGGTTGAAAATGAGAATTGATTTACTGTAGAAAAATCTAATCCCTCTCAAACAGGGCCTTAATTCCTACGGTAATTGATGACCACTTCGATAATATTACTGTTGATAATTACTAAAAGAGGTACATTGGTTATCTTCAATGTATATTAAGGGTGTGTTTGAGCCACATTATTTTGGAAGAATGTATTTTGAAATAGTAGATTGATGGCAAATGTGTGGTTGAAAAAGAAAGAAAAGTTATTGATGTGATGGAAAATATTATTTTATTGGAGAATGTGTGGTTGAAAATGAGTAGAAGAATGAGAATGAAAATTTTAATGTGGCTCAAACAGAGGCTAAGCCCATGTTTGGTATTGATTAAAATCAAATTTTAATCTAAGTTAAAGTCAAATGAGTTTTAAATAATTTGTACCAAATAGAGCTCAAGTTTATGTATATTCGAGTCCTAAACATGCTTGAATATTCTATTTTTACCTTAATAGTAAGAGAAAAAAGTTAGTTAAAAGTGTTTAATAGAAGATTATTTTGTTAGCATATTTGGCAAATCTTAACGTTAATTTTAATGAAATGCTTAAATTATGAGAAGTATCATCCAACATATGATCCGTGATTGTAATCTTGCAATTCACATGGAAAAAATGAAGTCTTTTCAATGAGTGATTAGATCGTGGTCTTGCTAGGCGAGCGTAGCAGAGTTATTTATCGAGACCATAATGAGCAAGGGCAGATAGGCCGTGTTTTTTTCATCAGAAAGCTGTAGGAAGAAAAATTAAGCCTATGTTTGGGCCTTCATTTTTTCAAAAACTTAGGGGTTGTTCTCTTTGTATTCAGTTTTGTGTTTTGGATTTATTTTGAATTTTGTGTTTTGAGTGTCCATTTTGAGATTGTTGAAAATGTGTTTTTTTTTTAAATTTTGAAAAATTGTTTTCAAAAATTGGAAAACTCATTCTCTTTCTGAAAAATTGTTTTCAAAAATTGTAGTATTTTTATTTTATAAACAAAGTTTTTTTTTTTAACATAAAATTGATTTTTTTATTTATAATTTTTTTTAATTATAGTGTATTTTTCTTATTTTATAAGTAATATTTTACTTATAAGTATTTTTAATTCTAATATATTTTTTTTGCTTATAAATTTATTTTTTGTTAATTTATTTTTATTTGGAATTTAGTTTTGAAGAAAATATATTGATTGAAAATAATTATTTTATTGATGGTAAAATTAAAAGAGAATACGAGAACGGTTAAAATTCGACGATTTTTTGGGTTAGGACAAATGATCAACATTACACCACCGATTTTGAGTTATTTTTAAACTATTCAATTCCCAAATAAATTGACAATCGTCGAATTTTCGTTCTCATTAAATGCCACCATCCAAAATCCATCAACATTAGTAAAAAAAAAACTCCCAAGTAGGCCGGGGGACTTTCCAAAATAGTCGGGTCAAATGACTCATTTGGGTTT